CAAAAACCTAATTATTTGTTTTTACATATTAGTATACGCTTACATTACAGTTATTGTATTTTTTCTCAGAAATGATAATTTTTCCGCGGTAAAAAGTATCCTATATGTTGACCCGGATAATCAGCTATGACCATACCAAATTTCATCAAAATCCGTCCAGTAGTTTTTCTGTGATGCGGTAACAGACAGACAGACAGACAGACAAAAATTCGAAAAACTATAGATTCGGCCTCTGTATCGATAATAATGTCTATATCAATAAGATTTTCAAGAAAAATTTTAATGTACAGATTTGACTCAGTTAGAATTTTATTATATGTATAGATATGGACCTTTTTCTTATATGAATATGGTTAAAAGAAGAACCATTAAAATTTCTGTATATAAAATGTATACTGAACTTCGAATGTTGATAGATTTTATTTAAGTTGTAATCCATACTTAATATTATAAATGTGAAAGTGTGTTTGTTTGTCCTTCTTTCACGTCGAAACGGAGAAACGGATTGGCGTGATTTTTTGTGTGGAGATAGTTGGAGGGTTGGAGACTAACATAGGCTATTTTTTTCCGCGGGAGATTATCCAATTCACACGAAAAAACGAGTAATCATACAACCCAGCAAAATAATTATGATCACAATTACTTGAAACTTAGTATTAATGCTCTTCAATATAATTAAATAAATAAGTGTTCTAGTATTTTTCGAAATTCATCCTATAAAGGGGTAAAGTAGGCTATCAAAAGTTTGTTTGAAACTACCTTTCTAGATATTTTTGTAGTTTTAGCGCGAGCAAAGCCGCGGGTTCTGCTAGTATTAAATAAGACAACACTATAACTTACGTGAAAAGTAATTCTTTATCCCTTCCTTCATTTTCCTTGAAAAGTTACTTAGTAACGTCTCGCTTTGTTTTACAGAGGGATTAATTTACTTTCAGACCTTGGTTTGTGTGAAGTCAATCAACTCCTACTTATGAAGTCAATACAAATGTTTTCTATTATTCGAAATCCAATAAAACACTTCTAGCCCAACTTTCATACCATTTTACTCGATTTTTTAATTTTTTTATCAATCATCATAGTGATTTTTATGAAGTCTGATGAGACCTAAGAGGTCGATCTATAAACGCCACCCCTTCACCCTTTAATTTTCATTAATTTCAATCTTAATTGAAAGATGAAAAATCGTCGACCAAGCTCCATCTTAATTTATAAATTTGTTAATTTCATTTATTAATTGGAGCGTATTTTTATATTAATTTTGTTAATATTAAGTCAAATATTCGAATATTAATAACATACTTTCTCTAATTTCATGTTCTAAATATAATAATTTACGTGTAATATATTAATTAATAAAACAGAACAAGACAAAAATAAATCTTTACGAAGGAATATTATTTGTTTACGTCAAATTTTTTGTAATTCATTTTAAATAAAACTGTCTTTTTAATTATTTTTCGTGGCTTTATTTGGATTTTAACACGCTTTACGGGATGATATCTTTACCTATTTTTGTTCTGTTATGCCAAAGAGGTATAACTTCTTACGTGCGTACATAAGTACACTACACTTACGCGTTTTTTTTTTTGTTATATAGAATAATTTAATATTAAACTGCTGGACACAGATCCCCTCATTACGGATGGCTATAAGGCTAGCTACCCATCATGCAGATAAAATGGGGGATGGCGATTTACACCTTTCAAAAACAGTTAAATTCTAAACATGTAGGTTTCATCACAATATTTTCCACCACCGTACTCTCAACTTGTATGTGAAAATGGTATAGTTAAGGCACGGATTTAAACCCACTTTACTTATTTTAAATAAAACTATCTTTTCGGATTATTTCGCGGATATATATTAGTTTTTGGTTCCCGACGTTTCGAATGCTTTACAGCAATCATAGCCACGGGAGAGAATAAGGTTTTAGACATATCAAAGGCGTTATATACTTGTTACAGACAGTGCCTACCCACAATTTTATAAAAATGATTTCAAAAATTCAAAAATAGCATCAGAGTACCTTTACAATATTTGTTGATTTTAATTCTAAACATTTTAAAAAACCGCTATACTTAGTTTTTCAATAAAATGTATTACTAAAGGATTAGTTATAATTGTATGCAGCCCTATTTAACGTCCCACTGCTGGGCACGGGCCTCCCTTCAATACGAGGGGGATCAGGCCATAGTACACCACACTGGCCAAGTGCGGGTTGGCGGACTTCACATGTCTTTCGAAAACTTGCTAAGTTCTCTAAGACATGCAGGTTTCCTCACGATGTTTTCCTTCACCGTTAAGACAAGTGGTAATCATGTTGGAAATGATTCGCACATCCCATAAGGGGATAAAATAGCGGATGAAAGTTTGTATGAAACCTACCATTTTAGAGTTTTTTGTAGTTTTAGCGCGAGTAAAGCCGCGGGTTCTGCTAGTATTAACATAATTGACATACAGCTTTTTTACTCGCCTTTTATTCCACGGTAAAAAAATCTTACAAACGATATTTTCAAAGTGATAGATAGTAAAATATACTTTTATTATAAGTCATGCTTCGTAGCAAATTAACGCAGTAGTTATAGATAGTAACACGATTTTTTACATAAATTGAGTCTTTTATGAACTCTAACCAATATACATTAAAATTTATTTAGTAATATTTGCATTATAGCGGAATTTTCATACAACTTTTATGCCTTATCCCGTGGGAATCGCTAGTTTCTAGATTAAAAAGGTGAGCTGCCTTCAAATGCTGGAAAAAATGTGGTCCAACTCAATAATTACGAGTACCAGCATGATAAAATACGCTTTTGTATATATTTTGCTGAAACCATAGAGGAGGAAGGAGATGTATTTATTTATCGCAAACTGCCTCGGTGATGTAGTGGCTAGCATGTACGGCAGCACACTCGAAGGTCGTGAGTTTGAGTCCCGGGTCGGGCCAAGCTTAGTTACTGAGTCTTTCTGTATAGTAAGTCTCAGTAACAGCCCGGAGTTGGGAAGTTGGCGGTGTTTCACCCCCGTGCCTCGGAGAGCACGTAAAGCCGTCGGTCCTGCGCCTTAACTCTCACTGGTCGTGTCGAGTAGTCGTCCCACCGGAGTATGAGAGTGACAGGAATAGAGAGTGCCCATGTGTCTGCGCCTACACTTGTGCACTATAATATCTCCTGCGCAGTTGGCTAGTCTCAATGAGATTGGCCGCCGTAGCCGGAATCGGCTAGGAGAACATCATCATTTATTTATCATTGGGAAACATACAGCGTATAGTTAATAAAATTTAGTTAAACACTTCTCAACAAAAATCTTAAGCCAATGAAGTTTCCACTAAAAAAATAAACGAAGTGAACTTAAAATTAACAAACCATGATTCAATGAATATGCTTTGATTGAGTCAGTAATAACGTACTGTATCAAATCGTGGGGTGGAACTTGTAAAACATATCTGTTAAAACTAGATAGAGGCTAACGAGCGATATTAAAAGTCATAACATCTAAACCATTTAGTTACCCATCAATAGATTTATATTCTGAATCCGATGTCCTTTCTATAAGGCAGCTATTCATAAGGAATACAATAATCGATTAACATCGGAAACTTGAATATGATCATAGTCTCACAATAAATAGACTGAAGCATAAAGTATGTAAAATGAACCGGTACAGAACATTTTACATCCATAATTACTCGTACAACTGTTATTTAGGTCCTACTCTTTATAATAAATTGAATAAAATTCTTAATATTATATACCCACTTAACACTTCTTCTTCTTCCTGCCCATTTCCCAATCACTTGGGGTGGGCGCAGTACATCTTCTGTACTGCTGAAAGGATTTGGCAAAAGTTTTACGACCGGCCGCCTGCCTGACGTCAACCCTCCTTGCGAATGCTATTGTCTCTCTTTGACTGAATGGTATCGCGGAAGTCTTGTAATTATTATGCACTTTCGATTTTGTTGTCTTTTAAAACATTTTTTATACTATTACTTAACTTTTTAATGTTATTTTCGTATATAATTTAAAAAAAAAATTGCTTACACCATAAATTTTGTTTGTGTGTGTGTCAATGTAAAAATACCATAGTAAAGTGGTTAAAAAAACTAACTTATGATGACACAGAAAAATTATTTGCAATAGTTAAATAAATGATAAATGACTCATAAACTTATCAATTAACTTACATACGCGTATCCATCACACGCATAAAATATTATAATATAAAAATATATAACTATACATACACATATATAAAAAATCATATTTTAAACACATTTTCACATTTTAAACATTCAACAGACACCCACACAAATGTTTTATAATTATAAATGTTAATTAAAAAATATAATAATATTAATTACCTGTGAATACCTAAATAATTAATTAGTAAAATTTACCACTTAAAAATATACTCATATTGTGTAAAACTAGGTACTTAAATAAAAAATATATAATCTACTATATTTAAAATTTGGCATAAGTTATTACTTTCAGTGGTCTAACTTTACCTACTACTATACTTTACTTTTATGGCGGTACTTGTAAAAAAATAACAATAATGTTTAATATCAATGTTTAAAACTTTAATGTATAACTGAAATTGTAATGTCCTTGTTATTATTGTGTGGCTTTTTAGCTTTTATGTTAAATTTAGTGATAATATCTAATGATAAGCTAGTGATAATTCTTTTATGTCATAGAGGAAGGGGCTGTCGTCTGTAATACAGGTTCGGCCTAGTACAGTCGGCACTCGGCAGTGACAAACCGATGTAAGTAACATAAATTGTAATTAGCTTTATTTTGCGCTTAGTGTAAATTTAGTGTAAAAACTTAATGCTAATAAAGTTTTATTAATTATTATTATTATGTTAATGTATGTATGTTCATTTGAAAATCAATCAATCAATGATTTCGATTTGAAAATTATTCTAATTCCGATTCCGAAATGCACCGATTTTAGAACCTACCAATAATTATTTATAACAATAACTTCGTACTTACCTTAGAGCTGATGAGCTTGTGGTTGACTGGAGGATTTCTATGGCAGTGACGTCTGTTACAAAATCTGTAACAAATTGTGTTAATTAAAAAATTGCATCTGTATTAAAGTTGTTAAAATTGTTAATTAAACTTACATAAGAGTAAAAGTTTATTAAAATCAAATCTGGATCTATACGCTTTCGCATTTTATGGCCATTTTACTATATCATAACCAGCGACTCATACTCGCTTCGCTCGAATTAGTCCCTAGGTATGTTTTAACGGTTAGTATAGAATAGATAGACTATATATACATAGGTATAGAAAATAGGTAAGTACGTTAAAAATTAAAAAAATATCCCTTACGTGAAAAATTATTGATTCAACATTCAAACTTCCACCCTCTCTTTTTTACCCCTTTAAGGGATGATTTTCGGGATAAAAACTATTATATATCCTTTTCAGGGTCTCGAACTATCTTCATACCAAATTTTATTTAAATCAGTTTAGCGGATTAAGCGTGAAAAGGTAACAGACAGACTTGCTTTCCCATTTATAATATTAGTATGGATTTGTACTAAATCTGCCTATACATATAAAATTCTAACTAAGTCAAATCTGTACCTTGAACATATTTTGGAAAATCTTATTGAAATAGTCTTTATTATCGATCGATACAGAGTCCGAATCTATAATTTTTAGAATTTTTGTCTGTCTGTCTGTCTGTCTGTCTATCTGTCTGTCTGTCTGTCTGTGACCGCATCACGAGAAACCATTAAACACATTTTGATGGGCTTTGGTATGATGATAGCTAGTTATCCGAGTCAACATATAGGGTACTTTTTACTGCGGGAAAATTTCTCATCTCTGAGAAGTGTATAGTAAATATTAAAATGTAACTGGGAATGTACCCGAGCGGAGCAAGGGTGAGTCACTAGTGCGTTATATAATTATAATATTCTAACCAGACATTTCTCATATAAATTAGATTTTTTTATATTTTTCTTACACTAAAATTATATCAGCCTATTAAGAAAAAATACCATTAAAACTAACTAATAACAAACTTTGTGCTATAACAAAAGCTACTTCTCGAAATTCTCTTCAATACTCTAATTTATGAAACCCACATTTCTTAATTCTCAACGGAATATGAGTATAGAATTTCTGATAGCAGATAATAAACTATTGTGGAAGCAAAATTTATATAAACATGGACCAAATAGGTCCAAACCTCTAAGGATTGATATTACAGCATACATTAATATTTGTTTAAACCACTATAATATTTACATAATAATGATGCCTTTATAACTACATAGTAACTTATGATTAGTATTTGCTTGAAATATTAAAACCATTTTATTTACTTAATCATAACGTTTAATTATTAATTAATAAGTTCATTTACTTGTTCCAAAATAATAACTCTAAATTAAAAAGTATAACAACTGCAAAATCAATTTGGAATTGAAGATTATTCTACCACATTTTATAGTGCCAATATTTCTTAACATTTATTTGGAATAATTTAAAAAAAAAACATGAAAATCAGAAAAATCATGATGAAAATATCATCGACCATACAAACATACATACATACACAAAAATACTTAGATGCTTAAAAAGACTCATATGTACTTGTGAGTACCGCCGCTTTATTGAAGTTGTGCAAAATCGAATTTATTTCCTGTAACCTAAACTAAAAACCTAAAATCGAAAAACTATGTATATGTTAAAAAATATTATAGATAGAGATAAAAGAGGCAGTTTGTTTGTTTGCACGCGCTAATCTCAGGAACTACTAATCCGATTTAAAAAAAAATTGCATTAGATAGCCCGTTTATTGAGGAACTCTACAAGCTATATATCATCCCGGAAAAATGTACGGTTCCCGTTGGATAGATTTGTTTTTGTTTAGAGACGAACCCTAAGCGAAGCGAGGGTGAGTCACTAGTTAGTTATAAGGACTAAAAACAAATAGATCACATCCATATATAAAGAATATTGTGAAATTTCAACAAATATTATTTTCTTTACTTTGAAATGAGCTACTTTGATGGTTGTTTGGAATTTCGCAATCTCAAACTTTAAACTGCATACCAAAGCCTATGGCAAAGCCATACTAATCTTCGTACTTTGAAAATGTTCAAGACTTTGATAAGGAACTAATACCGTTCTAAATGAAATCTTAATTATGATCACGTCTTCTTGAGAATTTCCACTGTGGTATTTTATTTGACATTCGTGTCCTTTTATTTCTGCTCTACCTGCAATTAGTTTTGAAGATATTTTGACTCTTTGAAGTCAATATATTATAAGGTATTATATAGTCGGTATTCTAGTTTATATCGACATAGAGAAAGGGAAGCACTAGGCTCGAGGCAGTAAGTAAGATGCGGTTGTAGAGGGCATGAAGTAGTTCTGGGGACGGTAGAGTGGGCAAATCTCAAAGAAAAAGCAATGGAAAATGAGAATTAGTTTGTACTTTAAGTAGAGTGATGTTTTGTTTTATAATAAACTAGCGACTTACCCTTGCTTTGCTCGGGTGCGTCCCTAGGTAAGCGGATTTTCTTCACAATTTAATGTGTTTTAATTTTTTTACGCGGAACCCTAGTTCTTATTCTAAAATAAAAGTGGCCTAGGTTTACTCCTTATAAAATAAGCTATCTGCCAGTTAAAGTGTCGTCAGAATTGGTCCAGCCATTTCGGGGATTAGCCGGAACAAACAAACATACAGAAAAACAGACAGACAAAATTTAAAAAAAAAGATAAATATTAACATTTTAATTTTAAATAAAACTATCTTTTCGGATTTTGTCGCAGATTTATTTGCATTTTTGTTTCCCGACGTTTCGAATGCTTTACAGCATCCATGGTCACGAGAGAGACTGAGGTGTTACATGTCTTGAAGGTACAGTTGTTACAGACAATCTACCCACAATTAACAAAATGAAAATTGCACCAATTACATTACAATATTTTTTAACTTTAAACATTTTTATAATTTTAATTATAATTGAATATGGAATATTATTTATTTAATTTTTGCTATTATTTTTATAATTATTACAATTTTAAAAATATTAATTAGTAATCTATATTTAGTGTTGCCATTATTATATTTATAACCACAAAGAAAAATATAAATTATAGTATTAATTATTTAAGCCATATAATTGTTCTATGTGTAATTTAAAAAAGTTAAAGTTAATTAAGGATAATCGCGAAATCTAAGAAATTCGAATTCGCGTAAATCTAAGAAAGTATTATATTAACATTATGTAGATCTTATAGCCCCACATACTTGCTTGTAAGTGTAAGTGCTAACTTTACTTCACTTTATTTCACTATGTGACTACTCAAACCGTTTTGCGATGTTACGATGCACACATCGTAGCTCTAATGGGAAGATTTTTAAGAGTGCGATGCTTCGACTGATTCATACATATCAGTATAAGGAACATATTGTAACTTCGTATCGCTGCTATTTTGGATTTAAAGTAATATAAGAAATTAATTTCTATTGTTAAATTATCTTCATACTAAGTTACAATTTCATTTCAACTTAGCATTGTACTATCGTCTCACTCTCGCTTCGCTCGGGCTGGTCCCTGGTGATTCTTTAAATGAATATAACTTTTTGATTTATGAACCGATTGAAATAAAACAAATGCTAAATATTAAGTGAAGCTTACCAAAATATATTAATGAAAATCGCAAATAAATTGGTTTAGCTGTTTCTGAGATTAACGCGCACAAACGCACATACAAGCAGACAAAAATTCGAAAAATCGTTGTTTTGGGTTCTATTGCGTTAATAAAATCTCCAATAATAGTTTTCTCAAACATCTTCCATGTACAGACAGCGATCAGTTTCAATTTTATTATATGTATAGATTATGTACAATTTTATGTAAACAAATGATTATAAAGAGACAGGCTGTATAAGAAGAAGATGGCGTATATTTGCACCGTCATAAATAGGAATTTCAATTTCTGCCTCGTAATTTATAGAAGCAATGACCATCATTTATTACGTTATAACTAATCCACATATTTAAAATCGATGTGTGTATGTATGTTTCCTGTGAACTCGAAAACGGATGAAGCGATTTTGATGAAATTTTCAGGCAATCTAAATATTAAATTAGCCCAAGTCCATGAAGTTTGGTAGCGAGCAGAAGTTTGAACGCGGGCTAAAACGGGGGTGCTACTAGTTTAATAGAATCGTCAAACTTAAATTAAATAAACTCCAATAAAAGCCATTACTCGAAGCCACATACTCAAAAAGTTTTTATGTGATTTTGTTTAATAAATATGTAATACAAAAGCTTCTATGAGTACATATGTGTGTCATCTTAAAATAAACTCGTAAGAAAGTGAACGCGTCAAGTGTAAGAGACTGGCTTCAATGGCACGTCATTAAAACTTCCACAATTACATACAGACAGACGTCTCCTGTCCTATAACAAAGACGAAAGCACCTACGTATTATATATAACAATATATAGCTTTCAAAGCTATTTACTTAAAATTGGCAAGTTTGGTATACATTTCGGGATTGCGAGTTGAGGCTTATGGTAGATCGTGGGTTCAAAAACTGGATAAATATATGTTTATAGGTTTTATCATTTTTGTTTGTTCTTCTTACATTCAATAACAGATCGACATTGCTTTTTTTGTATAAAAGCTATTTATGGAGAAAACAATATATGTATCTAGTTGTATCATATTTTTATACCGATCCATTGTTTTTAGTTATCAAAAATAGTGCCAAGTAAAATATCCATACGATGAATACCAACGTTTACATCGTATGGAACTCAAAAAACTCTTTACATGTTTAAAGCCTTTTGAATCGTCAATTTTCATATTAAAACTAATTGTCAGTAATGTAAGTTTGTATGAAAGCTATCACCATATTGAAACGGTCGACTTACTAATTACTATTATTATAAATACGAAAGTTTGTATGTATGTGTGTATTTTCACGTTGAAACAGCTGGCCGAATTTGGATGAAATGTATTATATAGGTAGACTTTGACTTGGAATAATACTTAGAATACTGCTAGTAGTAGGTA